AATTCATCTGGAATCCATGCTGTTCCCATCCGTCCCAGCCTGTGGCTGACCACCTGACTTGTAAATCATTTCTCAGTACTGCATGATGTGTCTCAGGCGATAAAAAGAGGGACCCTGTGGTCAAGGTACTAAAAGTAGGCCTAAGGAAGGAAGGTGACAATGCAGATACTGTCTGCGTCCATTATTTACCTAGGGTCTTCCCAGGGTTCCTTGAGAGCCACGGCGCTGGTGTTTCTGTCCAGTCTCAACACTTTCCCAAGTGACAGGGCCCTTCCCCTGGTCTTATCTTGTGTGCCTTCCTGTCCAAATCTGGAACCTGGCTTGCTGACCAGCTCATCACTGCTGCCTCCTCTGAAGGCTATGACCACTCCCAGTGGAATAGCCCAAAATCTGTCTTTATGCCCCCAGACATAAAGCATTTATACTCTTTGCTGAAGTCCCCTGGCTCTCTTGTCCCACTGCCCACCTACATCAACAGCCCCTTCCACATAAAAGTTGACATTGGACAACAGTTTTTAGACATCTGGTCATGCCTCCTGGGTATCTTCAATAAACTCTATGTTTTCCAGATGAGCCTATGAGCCTGATTCGGCCCATAATCTACCAGTTTGGGGATGTAATCCTGCAGTTAGAGAAGGTTTCTAAAAGTGCCCAATATTTACAGTAAGATTTCAGTGGGATGTCTTATTGGAATCTGGCCCTTAAACACACAGATGAATCAGCTTACCTAGGTGGTCAAAACCCAAAGCCTCCTTTGTGAGTGGTGAATGAGAAAAGACCATGGAAATCGCTGTGGAGAAAGCTAAATTCCCCCAAAGCTGGAGCCCCCTCGTAGGTGAAAAATGGTTTCTTGGTTGACACGTGTGCCCTAATTAATAAAGAAAAAAATAATTATCCATCCTTCTACTGTGTCTTTGTCTGTGTGTCTGTCCCACAGGAAAACGATTGTTTCCAGTGTGCCTAATGGCACCTACAGAGGTGTTCAGTTATGTTCGGTCGTGTAGAGGGTAGCAGAGACACAAGATTTTGGACATGCATCAGAAGGAAGGAGAAAATTCTCAGCCAACTGAGATTATACACGTTACCTCAAAGGAATTGCAGAAATGTGTATAAAAGAAATCGCTATTGAGTGAAGATGGCACAGCTCCTCTGCTGAGATTTACAGAATCCTTTGAAAATTACATGTTATCTTGTATTTAAAATCATCTGTCACACAGTAGGCATCTGAAAAAGTTGGAGAATTTAAGGTAAATTTGGCTTCGGAAATTCCTCCAAGAAATGGTTATTGTTATTGCCATAGAAGCTCTTGTTTCTCCAGCTGCTAAGATTGTTGGAGATTGACAGTCTTCAGCTGACTCAATTCTCTGGACATACACAAGTTCTTGTCCCTTCCACGTTCAAGCTCACATCAATGACTGCTCAGTGTAAGAACATGCAGGCCCAGCCCCTTTGCCCTGATTTGTGACAATTTGGAAGGCCCATTCCAACTCCAGAACTTCCCATGTGTTCAGCTAAGGCCCTTATTGTGACTGCATTGCAGGCCAATTCCTTCTCTACCTAACTTTGCTCCCTTCACTCTCCCACACAGGCATTGACCCAAAAAGAGCTCCACAATCAACTGACTGCATGCCAATATCATTCTCAGAGACTTCTTCTCAGAAAAACTAACCAGTGGCAGTATTTTGCTATGCATTTTTTTTGCTTTTGCTTTTGTTATTATTCTTAGTATGAACAAAGTTTTCAATATTTTTCTCTAGAGTTACTGGTGTTTTAGTTCATGCCTTTCCCATCCCAAGAATATAAACATATTCACTCATATTGTCTTATGGTTTCTTTAAAATCTTTTTAAATCTTTGATTAATCCATAATTTTGATATAGAGAGGTAAAGACCCAGTTTTATTTATTTTAAATGATCAATTACTTTTCTCTCACTATTTATTTTAAAATTCAATCTTTCCCCAAAATTTTTCTAAGGTATAATGTGTTTTTATACTTTTTTCGAATTTCTAGATTTCAATCCTTAACTCCTTTTTTTTCTACTGTTTGTAATTGAAATGCTTAAATTATTAATTTTTGTGCAGTGTTAGCTGCATCTCATGCATCTTAATATGTAGTTTTTCTGCATTAATTTTATTTTTTTAGATATCATGTTCCCAATTATGTTTTTAATTTCTTCATTTTAAAAGAATTGTTTCCATGAGATAGATTTATTTATTTATTTATTTATTTATTTATTTATTTATTTATTTATTTATTTTGAAATTTACAAATGGTAGGAATTTTTTTTGTTCTTATCTTTATTGCAGTGTAATTAAGGAATCTGGTTTACACTATTTCTGTTTCAAAATGCATTTAAATAAGTGCTCACAAATTTACATGTCTTCATTGGTCAGGAGCCAGGCTACCTTTTGTTTTCCCCCTGCATCTTTCTAATGTAAATAAGAATGAGGAGCTATTTGCCTTGTTCTAAATTGTTACTTGTAATTTGCCATTGGCTAGGACCTCAGAAAATACACAGTAAAGACATGTGGGTTTCTTATAGGGAAAGTGTTTGATTATTATTTCAAGAACTTTATACCCAACATGTTGGTTGTTCAGATGCCATTTTTGTCTCCTCCTTGGTTCTTGTTGTTTCTGAGTTCTTTTAGAGTTGGATGTGTCACAGAGTGCCAAGGCAAACACTTCGCAATATACCTTTAGAGACATTTTGTTTGAAGGGTATATCAACCAAGACACTCCTCTTGATGCCTCAATATCTCCGTCTTTACATGGTGGGAGTAGTGTTCTGAGTCTGCTGGCCTGTGGGAACATTCTAGCTCTGAGTAAGTGAGGCTAGAATGATGGCCAAAGCAAAAGAGCCATGGAGAGGACCAGAGGCCTAGACGCAGGTAAGATGATCAATAAAAGGAGGCCACCCATTTGGTCACTCTTTTCCTTTCAGTTCTGCACAGAGAGCAGGTACATGTGCATGCTTTGTAGGTCTGTGAGGCCTTGGATGGGAGAGGGAGACAGACAAAGGTTTGGGTTGTTTAAGATTTAAAACCTGAGCTGAAAACAGACTTAAATGCCACAGGAACCAGCCACACCTCGCATGCTTTGCTGATATATTTATTGATATATTTCCCCTTTTCAGGTGATGGTGACAAAAAGCAGATGGATCCCCTACCCAATCCCTCCCCCCACAATAAAATACAGACACAGATTTCATTTAGCATATACAAGCATTGGGGCATGTCCAAATTCATCTCACTGGGTTACCAGATCCAGGAAAGATTGTATCTTGGGGGCAGTCTGAGCACCTAAGGCCCAGAAATTGAGCATGCCAATGTTGAAGAGAGGCTGCCACTCTGGGCCCTGCCACTGGGGTGCCAGCAGAGGCTATAGAATTGAATCATGGTGAACAGAGATGCCTAGCCCTGTCATGCAGTCTAGAAGGTGACAGTGGGCTCCTGTGTAGTTTCCAGTGAGATCCACAGTCCCATAGAAATCTGTGCCTCAGGGTTCTCATCTGAAAAATGGGGATAAGAATCCTGCCCTGAATCTATCACAGGGCTATTATGAGGTTCAAAATAGAAATAATTTGTCAAAAAGTGCTTTGCAATAGATAAAGTGCTATATAAATTTAAGGGACTTCAATTGATTGATTGTCATTGTGAGAGTGCCCCGGGGATAAGAATGGACTGGCTCTGGGTCTCAAGGCCGAAGAAATGGCAGAAATTCTATGCTGTGCCATAGGTTGGCACCAATCAACGCAGGTAATGCCCACTGCAGAGCAGAGTCCTCTTTGTTTCTTGGCCCTAAGAAGTCACCATGGCCTAGCACCTGGGTCAGGGCTGGGAAAAGTCACTAGGGGAAGTTACAATAAGAGTTACAGGGGTAAAGGAAGAGGAAGGAGATGGCATATAAAGCAGGGGGTTATCACTATTATCATACACAAAAATAGAAACCCACTGGATGCAAGGCATTGAATTGGTAGTGCAGATGAGGGACAGAGGCAGAGTGGGGGAGGAGGTGTCACAGCAGCAGAGGGAGGGATACTGTCCCAAAGAGGTTAAATTGCTGGCTCCACCCCTCCTAAAGGGATAATGCCAGTGTCTGTCTATCTGTACGGAAGGGCGGGCAGGGAGATTGAACCAAGAATACAATAATCTGACCTAAGGATCCACACCCCCCCACCCGGTTATACTGCTACCCAGCATCTTGAAGAGGTTTCAGAAACAGGCAAGCAGCTGGTCTGTGCATTTTGAGGCTGACGCCAGAGCTAGGCCTGGAGCACTATAAAGACAGTATTGAGATTCTTGAAAAGGGCAATGGGTGTCAGCACTGTTGGGAGATCGTTAATTCGCTCATACATGGGCACGGTGACTGAGAGCCTAGAATTTTTTAAGGCTTAGCATCAACAGTGTTCCTTGAGGAATAGAGCGGGAGCCATTTTACTTGAAATGGGCTGCCAAGGAGATTCAATGAATGGGTCAGGCAGGGGAAGGAAAGACACTCTCTAGTTACTCCTACTGCTGCTGCTGCTTTCCCCCAACCCCCTTGGCAAGGGGTGTGGGACCTCCTGGGGAACATGGAAGGCTGCCCCACAGGGTACCAGCTGGTACCTACAAGTTAAGGCAAACAAGCCAGTAGATCACATTGAAGAAGAAGAAGGTCACTGGGAAAATAACTCGCGAGTAGTTATCCAAGCGGTAGATGTGGATGAAGAGGCGGCCCTGCTGCCACAAACTACCCTTACAACTGCGGGCCATGCACAAGTACTTGCACAACCTGCAGCGGCTGCCAGGGCACTGGGTGCGACCAGGGCGGAGGGATTGCTGAGCCGGGCAAGATGGGCCCTCCTCTTCATCACTGTCCTCCTCGGAGTCCTCGATCTCGCACACAACATCCTGCTGCTGGCGGGCACGGGCGTGGGCAGAGGCGCGGGCACGGAGAGGGGTAAGGGCACGGGCACGGGTAGGTGGCTGAAATGGAGAAGAAAGAAGGGGAAAAAGTCAAGGAAAGATGAGCCAAGCCTAGGTGCTGACTCAGGAGTTTCTGGAGATTCTGCCCTTGGCACATCGTTTTTGCCCCCCAGAATCCCCATCATCACATCAGAAAGTTTATTCGACTCCCCACAACACCCTAGGTCATCCCCCATCACTGTGAGCTGGCCATCACAGTGATGTGCCATGAGTCCTAGTGCCCTCACTTGCATGCCTCCTTACTCCAGAGCCTTGCTACCACTCCCACACCCAGCTCATACATGGCGAACTCTTGGAGAAGTGCGGCTTTTCATGTAGTGGTAGATCAGGAAACTGAGCAGAGCAAACTCCAGCAGAGCACAGATGCAGAAGGCGAAGCAGACACCAATATAGAAATCCAAGGCTGTCATACAGGAGACACGTGGGAAATTCTTCTGGGAATAGGAACTCAATGTGGTCATGGTGAGTACAGAGGTGATCCCTGTGAAAGCACAAGAGTGGAGGTAGGACAGCTACTGATTACACTGCTGAAAGAACCCCTGAGAAGGCGATCCTGTGCCCAGATAGATGTCTACCTTACCCACTTACCTAAAGAGGTCCTAGCTTGAGCAAAATCACTCTTGATCCAAAAGGAAACCCAGGAGATAATCGTGGTCACAGAAGAAGGGACATAGTTTTGAAAGATATTAAAGCCAAACCGCCTGCTCACATTGAAGAAAAGTGTGGTGACCATGAAATCACCTAGAAAACATAAAAATGCCACTTCATTACAGCACTGACTTGAGGGTCTCCCCCAGGCATGACATGCATATTAAAGATCCCATTGTTCAGCTCATGGGATCCCCAACACAGTCCTAGGATAGAGGCACATTATTCCAGTGCCACATACAGAGGATCAGAAGCCCAAAGAGGAAACACTCTGCAAGAACCATGGTCAGTTAAGAGCTAGGCCAAGGCCAAAACCTTATTTACTTCTTTCTCAGTTCACTGTCCCACACCCTACATCTGTGTTTTCAGGGTGGCAGAAGAGTCAGATGAAACTGAAAAAGCAGCTAGCCCTCTAGATATCACAGCTAATGTCCAGATGGCTGACTGAAGCCTTCATGTTCATTGAGGCGACATATCTACTCTGCAGGATCACAGCCTGACACATGCACTGCTAGCCCTTACAATATACAGTTTCAGGAATAGAGCCAGGGTAGCCTGAGCTATGGTGGGGGAAGCACAGAATGCACTTGGCTTCCTTCCTATACATTCATATGCTGGTGAAATGCCTTAATTGAGATGGCCAAAAGAAATCACTCACCTATCCCAAATCTCTGGTGGTTGGCTCCCTGCTCTACAAGAGCTACAGACTCAAGTCTACACTCTAACCTGACACTAATGGCCCACCACGTACTGGCTCCAACTGCCCTCTTACACACACATGCACACAGCACCTTAGCCTGAGCTAATCCCATCTATTCTCAGATTCCCTGCAATAGCTTGCATATTTATACCAATAGTCCAACCCTGGACTTCCTATTCTTAATCTATTACCCTAACTCAAATCGAGTATTTTGGAAAAAACAGAAGAATTAACTGAAAATAAAAATCTAAGTCAGGTCTTCAGAGTATACACCCACAAAGTGGACTGAGGTCTTCACATCCAGTTGGATATCATGTCCTTGATGTTAGCTCTCTCCTTAGACGGTGGTGGCTCCTACAAGACCTGATGACAACCTACCTCTCCAGTTGGGATCTTCTATTGTACCCTTCATACTCTGACGCATTCATCCCAAACACTGCATACCCATCGTGACTCCAAGAATTTGGGGAGGTAGGGGTTTTCTTGAGCCTAGATCATCCCTTTTCACTGTGAAACATCACATTGAATTTGTAATAGCTCAAATGCTGGCTCCTTAGTGAAGCTAATCTCCAAACTCCTACCTCAGTGATACTGTAGAATTCCTTGGCCTTGAATTAAGTAGGCTTTTAAACCCCTTCAGAGTAGGGCTTATGTGATCCCCGTGGCTTGGCTCCTGCCCATCCAAGCCTGGTACAGCCTGGAACCTAGCACACGCTCATCAACAGCTTTGTCTGAAGAGACCAGAACACTAACCTGGCCATGTATCCTCCTACTTTGGAAAGTAGATCACCTGTCCAGCAGATCTGGGTATGTTGCAGCTGAATGAGAGGAGCAGCCTTTCCTACTCACCTTGGCAGCACTGATACTCAAGGGACAAGACTTCTCAGAATCTTCTGGAAAAAGGCAATGAAGTGGTCTGGGGTGAGTGGAATACCTATGTCTAGAGCAGTAGCTTTAGGGATAAAACTTCTCCTCCAAGGATGCTGCAGGGACCACTCACACTTGCCTACTGGCCAGGATGTATTTATCAAGTTCTTAGTTTCTTGCCCTGGGGGCTTGACTGATATTTAAGACAGCCTTACTTAGCTACAACCACTCCCTGAAAAAATTTGCTGAGTTTATATAGTCTTCTTGCAAGAAGATTTATTATCCTATTGGCTTTTTCTGTTTTTATTTTATTTATTCCAACCAAAGAAACTTCTTCACTTGTCAAGAGATAGAAATTTGTCTTTGAAGTCTGAAAGAAGGATACTATCACACACCACTTTCTTATTTCTGAGGAATGCAAGAGCAGGGGTAAAGGGCAAATGGGATAAAAGATACCTGGGGCTATGGAGCCAAAGCAAAAAAAAAAAAATCTAAAGATGCTTTCTGCTCTTATCTGCTTTGGCCAGACCCCAGTCGGTCACTGCACTGTCAGAGGAACACAATTAAAAATACTATCCAGAGGACTGGGACTAGAAGGATGAGCAAACCTAAAGCCTTAACTAATGAGGGAAGAAAAAGGAACTGGGGCTATATAGCTTATAAAATAATATGACCCAAGGCTAGAGCCATAATACTGGTCTTTTAATCTTGACTCTGTGGAAAAGTGACTAGACTTACTGGAAGTTCAATAGTTTTAGGGGAAAAGAACTAGGTCCAGCAGTGGAAATTCCAGAGATTACAATTTCAGATGATCAGGGAGTGTTTTCTGATAGACAGTTATCTAGATAAGGAAGAAACTCCCTCGAAAGAAAGTGAAGTCCTAATCACAAGTAAGATTTCATCAGAGGTTCAACAGTCACCCGAGAAGGATGACTGACTGACTGGGGGCAAGGTTGGACTCTCTGAGGGCCTCCTGAAACAGATTCTCTGTTTCAATACCAAAGTGGCCAGAGTAGCAAGCTACTACTGCATTCTGAACCATTAGGGGCTGAGTACATAAGTTTGTAACAGATGGAGAAAACTGCTCAGGGACTAACTGGAAGTGGAAGAGTTTCATACCAGTCCCAAAGATAACTATAACATTGGAGAAACCATGATTCCAGATCAACCAGTCTTTAGCAGAAAGGGAAGAAGTCTTCATCTTTTCTCCCCAAGAATTCTCCTCTCTCCCAGCAGGTCTGGTGCTTACCTATTGTCATTGCTTTGTTGATGGTACTGGCTCTGGGGCTTTGTAGTCACTAGGGTACCATTTTGAAACAATGCACAGCCATCTACTAAATGGAACCACTAGTGACTTGAAAGCCCCTGGGCCTTGTCTCCTGCCGTTTTTGATGATGGGTCACACCTGTCTGGGGAAACTGAGGTGCAGAAAGGCAAGAAGCAGGCCCAGGTTAGCTGGCAGAAGAGCAAGGATCCTGAGTCAAAGGTAGTAAAGCTGCTTACCCAGAGCCCCTGAGCAAAAGCATTTGTAAAGCAGACCTCTCCCCTTGCCTAATACTATGCAAGCAAAGCTCTAGCCAGATGAGCATGAGCTACCCCTCACCCAGTGACCAACTCAACAAGTAAAGGAAGAATAGATTTTCTGCCTAGCCCCATGGAATCAAAGCAAGATGCCTCCCATGGCAAATGGCTGGTTGAGTGACTGGCTCCATCCGCATTCTGGAAACGATGAGGGCAGTGCCTCCACTGCCCTGACTTGGTCAGTATGTGTGAAGAGGGTTTCCAGGGCTGCTCTGGGAGCAACCCTAGGGAGGTCCCTTGGCTCCTCATTCAGATCACCTAGGAACACAAGCAAAGATGCTCACACCTAGTTGGAAGCTCGAGTTTAAGAGACCCAGGACCCTCCCTTCTGGTCCTTGTTAGGAACAAGGTCAGAAAACCAGTGATCACCATATGTCCATGCTGAATTCACCATGAAGATTTCACAGGAATCTGTGCTTGTCAGAGCTGCTCCTTTAAAATAAAGGTTGATGCAGCAGCCACTGTAGCTGCTGGAACTCCTTCCATACTACCCCAGCCCTCCCCTAACTGACATTAGACTTCAAGCCTCCACTTCCTATTAGGACAGACTTTTCTTCCAACTTAGCCAGCTTGGATTTGTTCTGGATGTGGAGAACTCACATGAGCTCCATTTCCTAAAGTCATGCAAGTAGGTCAATTGTAACAAAGACTTTAAAACTGAAGGGTCTTCGTGACAAAGCTGGTTGCAAATTCTGACAGTAATATAACTTTATCTACTTACCAACCCTCTCGACCCTCTTAGGAGCTTGGCAAAGCACTTACTTCTTTGCAGATGAGACTGAGATGTAGTTATAAAGTCTCAGTTTCCTCTGCAAACAGTTGTAAGTGCTTAGCATTTATAAGACGGGAACCATGTTCTACAATATTTCCATGGGATAATTTCATAGCATTTCTATGTATAGACCACCTCCACTCATCCTTATCACCCTCTGCTTATAGCCCTGCCCCCAACGTGTACTTACCAGCTATAGTTGAGATAGTTTTGGTCTCGTTGCTCACTCCTGTAAAGTCAAACTGTAAAAGCTTCCAGGAATTACCATCATTGATGTCAAGCTTGAAATCGTCCCACTTGTATATTATCTCATTCTCAGGATAGGAAACTGTAAAGCAATGTGGAAAAGAGGGTCATGTGAGACTGGGAAGCCTAGTGGAGGTCTCCACCCAACATGGAGTCTGAGCAGTGCCTTGGAGTCCTGACTCTGGCCTCACCAGTGTCATATCTTGCCTCTCTTACCTCATTGTTGAAGTCCATTCAGTAACTGCATTTACTGAGCATTCCTCAGTACCAAGCCCCATGCTGGAAATAGAGATGAACAAGGCAGGAGCCCTGTCCTCACGCATTCACATTTTATTGACTAGGACAGTGAGTTTACATCTGTAATTGTTGGAATTGCTCTGAGAAACCTCTGCTCTTAGGGCAGTGGGGAAACAGGGGAAGAAAGATCACTTGGGGACACACCCAGAAAAAATTTCATAGAGTAAGTGATATTCCAATAAGTGTTAAAAGTTTAGTCAATTTTCTTTGTATGGATGAGGCTGAAAGGGTGAGGAGGGTGTTTAAAGCATAGAGAGATGAACATGCCTGATGTATAATGAAAATGCCCAAAGTTCAGGATGCCTAGCTCACAGAGGATGAATGAGGTATGTAGCAGTGGGTAGCAGGGGCCAGTTCTTTGGGGACCAGGCCTTGAGGGACATTTTAAGCAATTGATACATGAGAGTTGAGGAAGTATTTGAAACTAAGAAGTGACCTGGTCTAGATGATTCTTCAGCTAGGTCACTCTGCTCATTATATAAAGATGGTCAGACAGGAATACCAGTTATGGCCAGAGCAGTAATACAGGCATAATACAATGAATGAAGGCAGGATTCAAAGCTATGGCAGTGAAAATGCAGAGTAACAGACAGGACCAAGAGAGGTTTAGAAGGGAACATCAACAAGATGTGTTGATTGATTATATGTAGCAGGTGAAGGGGAAAAAAGCATCAAAGTTCTTGGCTTGAACAACTGAATGGGTGATGGTGCCTTTCAGTGAGATAAGTGGGAACACAGAAGCAACACATTTATTTTAGGGGTAGATGCTGGGAGGAGACAATGTATTTATTTTTGGACAGGTTCAATTTCAAACTGAAGATGTTGCAAAAGTCCAAGTGGAAGGTAACAAAGACCTAAACCAACATAATGACAGTGGAGATGGACAAAAGCAGACATACTCAAGATACACTTCAGAGGTGGGTGATTGACTTGAGATGGGGTAGAAGGGAGAGGGAGTTACCCAACATAAGGCCCAGGTTGAGCAATACAGCACTGTCAACAGGAAAAGAGATGAATATGAATTGGGTAGCCCTAGGCAAACTTGGCACCATCTTAGGAGAAATATAAAGAGCAAGGATGAGAAAAAGAAGGGGCCCGGCATGACTCTAGGGTCCCAGAAACCTAAGAAGGTACTCACAGCTAGAGAAAGACAGAGGGCAAGAGTGAGAATCCATTGGAAATTTGAGCATGTGGAGTGAACATCTAGCATCAATGATCATCCTGGAAGGAAGAAAGGAACTTCATTAGTCTGGTCCTTAGCATTTAGGTATCCACCTAATTTGGGCCTGGGGACCACCACGAGTGAGTGGCAACAATGGGATTTGAGACAAAGAGCTCAAAGGAAAGACAAAAAGAGAAGAAGAACAGCTTGGAAATATTTGGCTACTCTGGTCTCCAACATTGGAGAACTGTAGGGACCAACTAGATGATGGGCTTTTGTTTCTTGCCCATCCCAGCTTCCAGGACCTGCCAACATTCTCCCATTCTCTACCACCTCCCCACCCCTATACCATCCATTCACAAGCTTCCCTTGCCAGGTATTCAGGTATCTAGCTCGTCTTTGGTATCTTTCCAATCGCTGTGTTACTGCTCCTCATAGACAATTCCACCACTGTGGACATGTCTTTACTTTCAGTGTACACTTAGGATGGAATTGTCTGGGCAATGCAGTCATACTGGTGAATTCTAGTGGAAGGAGCTCTGGACTTGAAACCAAGTCACTGGGTACAAGTCCCAGCTCTGCCGCAAATTTGGTGTGCGGACTTAAGCAATATCGTTCTATCCTGAGGTCTTGGTATCTGTGTCTGTACATGAGGGGTTTGAGTCATGGTCTAGGGAAGCTTGGAAGGGCCCTTAGAAGTATCATTCAGGATGAAACCTCTATCTACGTTTCTTTAGTAAAAATTCTCAGAAGAGGAAGAAGAGTCCCAAGAGGTAAGAATCCAGAGGTTTGACGTACCTATCTGTGTACAACACCTTGCCATCTTTGTGGATGCGAACCATGTGGTTGAGTCTGGTGACCCCATAATCGTGGATCCTCTTAGAATTCCTAAAAAAGGTGTCTGGGATCCATAACTGGCTCACCACGTCACCATTCAGAACAAAGCTCTCAAAGCTGCCGTTGTAACGGAGGCGTTCATCATACCAGGTCTGGCATAAGGTAATGTCAATGGAGTATTCCTGGTGGGAAGAATAAAAAAGCACACATTTGGGGTTGTGCAGACAAAGAACATTCTCATGGCATGCTGTGATGGGCCTATCAAGCAGATAGGAAGCCACTTAGGCTTGCACAGAGGAAAACAACATGAATTTGGCTGTAGGAGTTTTCTATTTCCAGGTATTTCAAAAAGAAAGGAACTTTTCCAAATGGATAACAGTCTGGGAAGATATATGTCATCTAGAAACAGAAAGACAATAGTGGCTTAATTGTATGGGCTGGGCTCATCATGTCACCACTCCCTTATAGGGCTGTAATGCTACTCCAGCCAGGTCAACACCATCTTAGCCCCCACAGCTTCATAGCAGATCAAAGATCTCAACTCACATTCACCAACATGCACAGCTTTGATTGTATACAGCAAAGTTTTCCCTTTCAGCTTTTATTTGGGGAAGAAAGTTGTTAGTTAACCAAACTCCTTCATCCTTCAGAATTATATTAAAAAATGAAGTGCTTTGAGCCGCAAGAGAAATTCTTTAGTCTCATGCTTTTTGAATCATTTTTGTTTTGTTTTGCTTTTCCTTTTAAACAAGGGCACCTAACCTCTGAATGTGTGTGTGTGTGTGTGTGTGTGTGTGTGTGTGTGTGTGTACACATAGATATATCTATGATTATTTGGTCTCCAGATAGTTTCTCTTTCATAAACTGTTAAACATCAAGAAAGATATTTAATAGGAAGAAGCATGAGAAGCTAGAAATTTATACCACTGGAACTGAAGAGAATCAAAACAGACTATAATAGAACTGCAAGCAGCTTGAACACCAAATACCAGAATTGGACCAAGGTAGAACTTTGAGGGCTAGCATGACTGCCTTTACTTTAGAGTTGGGTAAACTGAGACTCAGAGAGAAAGGGGCCTGTTCAAAATCACATAAATTAACAGCAGCACACTGGCTCTGATGTTCAGAGCGCCACAATCATATCCTTCTCCTGGAACAACCTTCACTGATCTTCCCTTCCAGTGCTTACTTCACTTGAATTAACAATCCCTTTGGGTACCAAGGTCCAATTTCCCTCTGCAGATTCCCTAGGTCTTTCTCTTGAGTTATCCTGTATCAAACGGTAAACACCAACCAGACTTTCACAACCCTGGAAGCCAGTAGAGCCAATGGGGGGCAATGCCCAGACCAAAAGATGATGATCGCCACTGCCAAATTGCTGGGACCCAGCCTCCCAGACTGGGAATGTTCCCTGGAGTAATCCAAAGAAGTAAACAGAAAAAAAGTGGCAGAGCTGGCTACCATTCACATAGGAGCCCCAGCCCTGCCCTGCCCAGACCCTTCACAATCGGCCTTCAGAGCACTTCTACAGTCCCAAGTGTCTGGCAATTCCAACTTGGCCCGCAGAGTCTCCTTCGTTCTCAGGCCACGTGAAGTACTTGGTGGTAGAGGAAGACTTCTCCTCTGCAACCCGCGATGTGCTCCTACTGTGCTATAGTGTTTCAAATGAGCAGTTAATTTCCATTTAACCAGATATCAAATGTAGGTTCACTACACACCAACTGATAACCAGCAGTTCTATTTTTCTCCATTCGACAAGGTATCTTCGGATATACACCTCTTTTAGCTCAGTCGAAACTCTAGAAATTTGGTGTCAAGGAATTGGCTTAATTAGAATTGCTTGCAATAACTACTGTTGATACTGTGTAGGGCAGTCATTTCCAGAGTGGTCACTGCCTTCTAAGCTCAAGCCAGGAGACTGGTAGAAACATTTCATTTAAATCCTCATGCTCTGGGCTCAGGTTTCTCTCCATGAAAACGATTCTTGTCCTCTAGGTAACATCTGACTGAAGGGTGTTGGAACTCTCCTCAAACAACCACTCCTACTGTGTAATAGAATACTGGAGATTCAAAACCTTGCTGAGAGGCTCAGTTGCCTCAAACACAATGAGGATCCCAGTGACAGCCTTGCATGTCATGAAGGGCCAAGGAGATAAATATGCTCTGTTGATTGGTAAGTGTAGTGGCTGTGTGAGAGAGACATGTGCTCCCTCTTCACCAAGCGTAGCACTCTACAAGCGTCACCAAGGCTGTACAAGAACTGGGACCTCCCACAGCTTTCAGAAACAATTTGGAACTATATAAAAGGCCTGACTTCGGAGAAAATTTAATACCACATGACTGTTTGGAATCTTCTAAAGGTACTTGGCTAAAGAACCACCTTAGTAGCCAAAGAAAATCGAGTTATTGGCTCCTATTTAGACCAGTTCTGTGTTGCATGCCAGGTTTGGTTGCTGCTGAGTTATTAAACTGTATTCCTCTAGATTGTCAGGTGTCAGCACTTCCTGGCACCTCAGGTGAGGTCAATGCTGCCAACATTAATAGGAGCAGAGTGTGGGACCACACGACTTTGACCTCTGGGTCTTGCTCAGAACCCATTGCTTCTTAGTATAACAATGATTTAAGTCAAGTCGATCGCTAAATTCATACTCATTAAGTAGTAAGCACACTGATAAAAGCAAAAAGTAAGTCTGACAACAAAGGAAGAGAAAAACTTTAAAATGTCAACGGAAACTCAAAAAGATCTATTTGGTTTCATGCTTCTCTGCTTCCTTGTTATTTCCCAGCATTCCATTCTAGTAGTTACAGGATTTTACATGCTTCAGTAGGAAAACATAATAGCCATGTGTAGTAGACAGACTCTAAGATGGCCCCCAATGATCTTCACTCCCTGGAGTCCATGCCCTTGTGTAATCCTCCCCACTTGACTGTGGGCTAGACATGACTTGCTTCTAATGAACAGAATACCACAGAAGCAATGCTATGTTACTACTAAAATTAGATTACAAGTTTATGGCTTCCATTTCTAATACCTCTTCTCATGCTCTTGCTCAGCCTGAACGAAGCCAGCTGCCATATTGTGAGCTACCCTGTGGAAAGGCCTACATGGCAAGGACAATGGGAGGCCTCCAGGCAATAGCCAGAGAAGAACTAAATCCTGCCATCAGCCATGTGAGACCTTCAAAGTGGACCCTCCCTCAGTTGAGCCTTCAGATGAGACCCCAGACTCAACTGACACCTTAACTGCAGCCTCGTAAGAGACCTTGAAACAGGGGATCCAGCTAAATCATGCCTGGATTCCTAACTCACATGAGCTGCAAGCTAATTACTATTTGTTGTTTTAAAACACTGTATTTTGAGATAATTTGTGACATAGCAATACATAAGTACACCATGCCTCAAGAACCAGGTAGCCAAACAAAGCATCACAGGGAGAAACCTCATTCTTCCACTCAGCCTAAGTAAACACCTTGATCTACCATAAATGTTTACTTACCTTTGAGTGTCTATTTGCAAATCCCGCCTCAAAGCCTAGACTCTGAGCTCACCCAATCAGATAGTGCTTGTTGGGTACCAGTTGGTATGCTAAAACTATGTCTGACCTGGTCCAGGCCAAGTCTATGACTGCAATGAAGTTAGTTACTACAGCCTTTCTCATTGTCAGGCTCTCTGAAGATGAAAGTGACTTTTGCAGAATCTCTTTCATAATGCATTTGCTCAGCTAACATACGCAGAATCCTTTACATTATGGAGACCATACTTGATAGAGCAAGGCAGACATAGAGCACATCATTACAATATAACAAGCTAGGGAAGATCAGGTAAATGACTGGGATAAGATCGGAATGCCAAAGAGAGGACTGTGGTATAAGAAGGGAGCAATAAATAGCTGTGGAGGTCAGGAAGGATGCCATGAAAGAAATGTTATTTGAGTTATACCTTGAAAGATAAGGCTTATGAAAAATAGAAAAGTGGAGCAATGGCATACTAAACAAGAAATAGTTTGAGCAAAGGCTCAGAGGTACAAGATAGTTTGGGAACACCCATAGTCTACTGTGACTAGATCACGTGGTCAGGAAAGGAGTTAAAAAAAAATCCCTGAGTTAGTTCCAGCCTTGATTGCTATAGCGCAGGGTTGAACTTCATGCTTTAAGCAGGATCAGGACTGCAGGAGGCATATCACTCAGGAAGCCAGATGACCTGGGGTAGGCAGAGACCTTGAATTTTGTGTATGTCCAGTAGGAGATAATAAAAGCTAACTGGGGATAGTACTGACACTAGAATGTTTGTAGTGGAACAGGAGAGAAGAAATCAGGGCAAAAGGAAAGAAACAGCCTTAGAGCACGAGTTGGTATAACTATAGACTTAAGTCCATAAAAAATCGAGCCATTCCATTGTGTTGTTTAAAGGTGCTTTCTTGTTTTCACTTTGAATGAAAGACTGGAAGATATAATCTGGATTCTAAAGGTCTTCTTCAGGCAGGTTTTCCAACCTCCTTCTCAAGTAAGTATTGATTAAAATCTCTCCCCTCGCCCCAAACTTATGTTATGGACAGAGATAAAAAAAAAAAAAAAAAAACACATACAAACATGTGAAAGGCCCCATGGATTAGATCCCTGAGCTAGGAGATACTGTATCAAAGCTCAGTACTCACCATGTTCGGGACAGAGATAGGACCAAGGGTGTTGACAGAGAGCACGACAGTGATCACAGTGGGCTTCTCTGTAAGGAAGCAGAAGTGGCAGAGGTGTGTAAAACAGGGGCATGAGGCAAGGGAGGGTGTGATCAGAGGGAAGGAAAGGGGAGATGAATAAGGATTATACTACATGGGTTTCAACATCTGATCCTTTTCTTTCTTTGTTCTTTCATGGTAAGATCCAATTCATGGACTGTTAAGAGTTGGACATACCTCAAAGGTCATATCATCTAGTCTAGTCATCTCATTCTATAGTTGGAAAAACTGAGGGTAAAAAGAAAGGAAAAGTCTAGACCAAGGTAATGGCATTGCTGAGACTATAGTTGATATCTCTTACCTGATAGATCAGCAAGAGATGTTCTTGTCCACATGCATGGCACCCTCACCTATACCACAGGTCTGTTCGCCGTACTTATACCCTTAAAGCCTCTCCCCTCCAGGGGAGGGGGGTGAACTGTTTTGTTACTCACCACCAATGCCAGGGCGCAGTCTGTGGTCATAGTTATTCAGCATACTGTCCAGTATTTGAGTGGCTGCTAGCAGCTTTCCAAATCTGCGAGGAGTATCAATAGCAGTGGGCTTTATTTCTTCAGCAGGGAGCTTCTTTTGGGGAGCCTGGGGCTTGGGGCCATAGACATCATCAAGACCGGCAGAGGGTCCCTTCTCTGATTCAGCATGAGGTCCTTCAATCCTAGAACATACAAATAAAAAAATGAAGTTCTGTCCCCCACTCCGTAGGGACCCCACCTGGTGCCTTTTGAGACAGAAGCAAACCAAAATAATCTGCAACCCAAGTCATAGTGACTAGCATCAGTAAATTATGAGCCAACAACAGATTTCATCTATTTATTCTAAATCTTGCTGCTCTTTAGGAACTTTCCATGTTATTCCCCTTTTATGGTAATTCTTTATTTAAAAAATCAATAATAAAACCAAGCTCGATATTTTAAAAGAATGTTTCAATGTAAAATGATGAAGGCATCGGTGGTATGAGCTCTGGCCAATCAGCTGCCATTACTAGCCTTGCTCCAGTCTGCCTGACCAGCACTTCCAGAAAGCAAATGGGCCGGCAAAGGGCCAAGACTGCCCAGGAATGTTCAGGAAAGCCAGAACAGCCACTCCCAGAGAAGGCTAGACCACTGTGGAAATAGTTTGCATTTCTTCACTTCTGTAATACTCATTGCATTGGAGTTGGAGGCTGGTGTTCGGGGAAAGCTCTAAGCCCTGAGAAAAGGCAGGAATCATTCACCCACAAACTTGTGATCCAGGAAATAGATGGCCAGCAGAAGTCCAACCTGAGTGCCACAGCCATGCGCCACAGCCAAAAAATAATGAGAATTAAATTAAAATAAAAATTTAAAAAGCCACCTGCTCATGTATGAAGTCAAGGTCAAGTTACATTTTCTGGGAGGCAGTGAGGAAAGGGATGCCAGAAGACTTTTGAGGTTCTGGTCATATTCTAGTGCCTGATGTGGGGTATTGACATCGATATAGTCATTTTCTGACAACTCATCACGTACATACTTATGATTTGAGCACTCTTCTGAATATATGCTCTAATTCAATAAAAAGTGTTTTGAAAAATAAAAAATGCTAATAAAAATGTGTTAATATATAGACCTTATTTGGACTCTGATTTTAAAAGGCAAAGTAAAAACAAAACAAAACAAAACAAAATACATTTATGACAAAATAGGGGAGATTTGAACACTGACTGGATAATTTCTTCAGTATGAAGAAATTATTCTAAACTTTTTGTTGTAATAGTGGCATTTTATTGCATTTTCAGAGTCCTTATGACTAGGAATACATACATACTAAAATAATTACATGTGAAATGATATGTCTGAGATTTGCCTTAAAATAATTTAAGTTGGAAATGGAGAGTAGATTAGGTACAGAGAAAATAAGAGTGGCCATTAGTTGATAATTAATGAGGCTGGTGGGAGGTACATAGAGAGTCACCCTACTATTTCCTCTACTTCTATATATCTTTGAAAAAAGTTTTATAATTAAAAGCTTTTCAAAAAACCGTCAGGAAAACTAATCTGGAAAGCAGGAGAGTAGTTTCATTTGGATAGGAGCATGAACTAGGAGAGGGTGTATGGTGAGGCTGGTGAGGGTGGGGTGGAGGGGACTAGAATTTTCTATTCTGTGGTCTAGTGGGGGTTACATGGGCATGTTTATTTTGTGCAAATCCATTGAGCTGTTCACTCATATTTCTATACTTTTATGTTTGTATATTACACTTCCAAAATGATTTTATTTTTAGAAAGCTATCAGGAAACTTGCTTCCTAAAATAAAGGGTTAACAAGGCAGGAGATGTGGGCATGGCCTCTGTACTGCTGACCACAGGACTGCCAGCTTGAGCATCAAAATGCATTTTCCTGTATATCTCAAGCTCTGGAATACAGATGTGCCAAGCCTATGCCATTTCTCACGTTCGAAGTGGCTAATTTACAATGGGGCAAGGGAAGAATTGAGCTTAGGTAAAGCAGTTTCCATTTCCCCCAGTCCCCTGAATAGATAGTGCAGATGGCGGGGGGAGGAAGAGCAGGGGCCTGAAACCTCAAAAAATGAGTGACATGGCTGGGAGTATGGTATAATCAGGACTGGCATTGCAAGCCAAGACCACCCAAGAACCTGTAGCGGCTCCTCCCAGATGTCTGAAGCCAAAAACAAGAACCCTGAGATTCAAGAGGCAAACAAATAAACAAGTGAAAGCCCAGAACCACTAAAGCACCTCTGCTCCCAGACTAGTCTGCAATGAAAATGTTGCTGTAATTCTACAATTAGCTTTTCTCGGTAAAAACAAAGTGATCCCCTTGACAAGTACAGTACCACTTTGTAAATTATATAAATGTCTAACCACTATGCCGTATACCAGAAATACAAAATATTAAATGTCAACTGTAACTGAAAAAAAATCGCACGAACAAAAACACCTTCATCCAGGATCCTTAGGGTTAAGAAGCTGCTGACGATGCATACGTTTTCTCGGCCAGCCATTAAGCCCACATTTAGGGCAATAAGTAACAAAAACTTGAAAAACACTCATGCACTGGACTAGTGTAATCCTTGCATGGGGGCTTTTCAGGCACTCACACCCCTCTAGATGTGAGGATCCAAGACCGAGGTGAATTTTTTGCACCACCTCCCCCCACTGAAGATGTTCACTCAACTGGATGAAGGGAGAGGAGGGAACATGAGAACGGCCACTGGATTTTTTTTTTCCAAATCAACCCTCTTTTTCACCTTACAGATGGAGAAACTGAGGCCCAGATGGGGTAAAGTTGTGCCCAAAGTCACACAACTGATTCGAGGTGAGCCTTGACCAAAGCGAATATTTCTGGTTCACCTCACCCCACTCCCACCACCCGGCAAGTCAGGGCACCTGTGAGTCAGCGGGGAGCCATACAGCCTCCCCCTTGAAGAGCTTAAGAATTCTCGGGTGGGGAGAGAAGCCATCTTTCCTCTTCCCCAAACGGAGAAGCAAGCCACAGCCCCAGTGCTACGGAGATTTTGAGAATGTTTGACAGATCAAGAAGCTTAGGAACACTTGACA